TACTCTGCCGCTTATTACTCATCTGAGTATTTGGGATAGCGGAAAGTTTTCTGTTAAAGGCGAAGAGATCTCAAGTTATACAATCGACAGCTCTTCTAGATACGAACCAGTACTCTAAACAATCGTATCATAGAACAGCAATAACTGCCCGGGATTACTGTAGTTTTTTAGTAATTCTTTGATATTCGAGTTATTTGTTATTCCAAAACATTCATCTGTGTAAGAGCATGTATTAGGACATTGGTTTAGGTCATAAAGGTTGGTGTATCGAGCCAAATACTGAGTTCATTTTCCTTGGCGAGATATAAACCGATACTTTGTAGCTGACTACGTGGCTGTCTGATTCTGAGTTGCATAGCCTATATTTTCTAATTTGATGAGGGGTTCTGTCTCTTCTGGTTAAAGAGAACAATGCTATTCACAGATGAGTATTCCTAGATGAAGATCATTGAAGCGATCATGCATGGTTATAGAGCGGGCCCTTCTGTTTGCGAAGATCGCTCGCCACACGGCGCCGATTTCTGTCTGATTTTGATACTGTAGTATACTTGACCTTTAAATTACTRCAATATTCTTACTATGTTTCACGCGAAAGACTATCAGAGTGAACGATTTGATTCTATGCTTTTAAAGATTTGTCAAAAATAATACATGAAAAGTAATCAACAAGGAGTTACTTTCACAAATGTTTTCTCTTAATATAGTTCGATTTCAAATCACTTTGTGATTTATCAGTATAGATGAACTGCACTATTAGCACTATTCTTTACATCTAAATCAACTCGGTTTTGAAAATTGAGAAAGATAGTATATTACATGGTTGGTCAAACACAAGAAAAGTTTTAAATGAGCTCATTTTGACAGACAGCACTTTTCAACACCTTTAGGGCACGAGTACACCCWGCTGTCAGGGTCTAGTTTTTATGAAAATATCACCCTGTCCAAGACACACAAAATAAATTATATCGGTCTTTTATCTAGAGTAAGAGAGAATATAGTTTATTAAATAAAAACACATCGCTGTCTTACGATATACAATTAAATATGATATATGAGAGAGAGAATATGTTAATTAGCGTGTAAATACCTAATTACTTACATAAATAGAGGGTACGGAATTTATCTTCAAGTGTTGAAAAGATCTCTGACGAGTGCGCGAGAATATCAAAWCCGTATCTCCGCGCTCCCATGTAGCAGATTCCCATCCAATTCTCCAACTAAGTTTCTCATTGCCTTAGTAGGAAATAAAAAAAAAGGTTTTCGAAAAGTAGTTTGTC